TGCGGAAGCTGTTTGCAGCACCCCTGGCCACGCTCACCACACGCTCACCTGCAGATGTGGGACAGGCTGGTGTCAGCCCGTCGCGAGCGCTGTGCTTAGGACGCCGGGGCAGCTGCAGAGGCGTGCTGCATCTGTGCAGGTCCCCAGGGCACCTGGCACGTCGGGCCCAGGCATGGGCTTTCAAGGAATGACTCTGCCTGATGATTCACTGTACATGGAGCTAGAGGAGTCACAGGAAGAACCTCCACAATGCTTGTAAAGCAATGAAGGGGCGTGTAGCATGTACGCTTTGAGAACCGATTTTCTGTGCACAGCGACATGGACAATCATCTCCACTCATCCTGCCTGTGGTTTTGTGGGGACTGGAACCAACAACAGCAGGACACAGACTGTCCTCTGTCCCCCGTTGCTTGCAGTGACCCCTTGGTACCCTCCAAGCCAAAGCCACTCGTGGAGGACCTTAGGCAGTGCACCTGCAGAGCCAGCTGTGGATGCAGACGTTGGGTCTCACTCCTCTGCTAAAACAGGAAGGACCGTGTGAACCCTGTTTTCAGTACAGCTGCAAAACTCTGGAATTACATCATACACACTTTACCATTTTAACCTCAGACAGAATCACACAGAACGAAGCACACCCATCTTTACTTTGATGTGCTTTGATAAATGCATCGGCGAGCACAGCCATGCCCTAATCAAGCTATAGGACATCGCCCTTGTCCTACAAAGTTCTCTGTGCCTCTTTCTCGTCATCCGAGGCCACGCCCTCTCTCCTCCGCCCACGTCGCTGGTGTCTCTCTCACGGTCAGTTTGGCGGGTTCTGGAACATCTGAAAGGCCTCAAGCCTGAGCTCCTTCTGTCCCGCCTTGGGGCTGTGTGATCTTCAGGTCCACTCCTGCGTCTGCTTCTCTCTGTGGCTGTCAGCACCGCCTTGTGTGGCTACATGACGATTTGTTTTGATGTGCACCTGAGTCATTTCCAGGTTTTTGTGATTATGAATAAAGTGGCCATAAATATTCCTGCACAGATATTTTGGGATATTTTCATTTCTTTTGAGCTGGGGGAACAGAAGTGCTGGCTAAGTCGAGTATACCTTTAACCCCATGGAAATTGCCAGCTTACATAGTGCACTCCCAATTAATGAGTCTGATAACCGATCGGGTGAATCCTTTTAAATGGTTGCATCAAGAGCTGTTTTCGTCTGAGATTTCATTGATATTTGTGTATTCAGTCTTCCAAATGTCCCCTCGAGCACAAACCTTCATCTGCTGCATTGCTTTAGTGGCCCTTTAATGCTTCCCCAATTGTTTGCACAAACAGCTGAGAATCGGAACGATTCATACTGGAAAACTGGAGTGGCCCCTTCCGTGTTTTTCTATATTTTACTCCTGAACTTTTGAAACACACAGACATATATGTCACATGGGTATTGGTTAAGAGCAAAATTATAAAACGGAAACTTATAAATCCACCACTCCCTCCAAGAAGGAATACCTCTCCGAGAACAGTTCATGGGCTTCTGGCTTCCCTTCGCTGCTCTGAGTCACTGAACATCCTTCACGAGTCCTCTTGCTCACTCGAAAGCAAAGCACAAACACTTTTACATGTATCTCACTCCTTTAAATTTTTTTTGTTGCCCTTGTTAACTTTGCTTGCCGTTAAGAGCTTTTATCAAAATGGTGTCCCGCTGTGCACGGTTTTTCAGAACTTGCACATCTTCAGCACCATTATTCCCGAGATGCACCTGCAAGGGATGTGACTGTCATGGATGGCTCCTGCAGCACAGTGCATGGTGTGGCTCTTTGTCAGCGGATACTGCTGCTGTTTTTCTGTCTTCACTTGCCAGCCATCACATTTTGAGGGAAATCTGGTATTCTAGGCTGAATAGATGGTGATAAAAGTTATCAAGAACACAGTATTTTTGAAAAAAGGAAAACAAGCCACTGTCTTGTGTTTCACACGAAGGCGAGTCGGTGACACTGCAGGAAAGCAGTGCTGGGGACAGCAGGCGTGCCTGCAGCGTGAGGACCCAGTCAGTGCTGGCCGCAGGACTTCTCTCGCAAAGCTGGCAAGAGCAGCCTGTGGAACATCCTCATCAGGCCCCCCAGCCCACCTCCTTCACTGAGGGGCTCCACCCAGACCCGGGCGCCCTGCAGGCTTGCCTTCTCAATACTCAGGTGCACTGTAAGAAACATCTGATTGCACTGAGACAACCTCACCGATCTCATAAACACTCCCCCGAGCCACAGACATTCAAACTTTTTTTTTTCAAAATAGAGAGTTATTTGTTAAAGAAAAAGATGTACAATTCCCCTACAAGCAATTATGGTCTGAGGGAACAACTGAATAGGCAGTTCTAATTCATACTAAAACATCTCACCTAAAGTTCAGAGACGTTACATTAACACAGCCCTTTGTACGTATCAGCTCTAAATTGCCTTAATTTTAAGTATGCTAACCCATCTAAATATTGTACTGATACTCCAACTCCAGAGTGGAACACCAACCCCAGGCGAATCTCTCCGAAGACTCAATGAGCTTAACAGCAGTAGACTGAATTTTAACCATTCACGTGCAGGAATGTAAGATTCGAATCTCTTTCTTTGTGAATGTTCAGGAACAGCCAACTGTAAGAACCAGGCTGCATTTCCGCTAAGCAATCTAGTCTGGACAACTCTTTCAAGTAAAAAGGCTTTATTTTCCTTTGCGGCAGTTAACTCACCGAGTGGAGCTAAACATTTCCAAGGCGGAAAAAACGAGCTAGGAGCTGAAGCAAACACAAGGAAAAAAAATTGGGGGATTGGAGGTCGAGGAAGGGGGCCGCAAACTTCTCTTCCACATAGCTTCTGTTCTGTTAGGCTCTGGTTTTAAAATTTTGCTGCTGAGAGGGGCGCTGCCTTCCACCTGTGTCTCCGCAGTGTCTCTGGCTGCTCCAGGGGCAAACGCATGGCTCGCTCTGCCTCTCTGCAACCCTCAGGGCCCCGGCCTCCGCAGCCAGCCACGGGGGCAGAGGGACCGGCCAGACCCCGGCACCTCCCCGCCCCCCAGCGCCAGGGCCCCTCCACGTCCTTGCAGCGTGCATCCCGGGTCGAGTTTTGCTTTGGGGACACCTCTCCTCCGCCACATTCCGGAAGGCCACCGGGGAGCCCCGGGCTGCTGCAGGTTCCCAGTCACTTCCGTGGCAAGCGGGAGCCTGGTCGCCAAGCCTGGGGGCTCCCCGAGGCAGGTGCGGGTGCGTTTCCGCAGTGGCCAATGGGTCCAGAGAGCGTGCATGCGGCAGGAGCTGGGATCAGGAGGCGCACCCACGTGCAGCCGCGGGGGCCCCCCACCCCCGGCGTCCCCACTCCGGACCCCTCGGACACGCCCCCCACTCAGGGTCCCGCAGCCCCGCGCCGTGCACGCGCCGCAGCCGCTCCCCGCAGCCGCCCAGATGGTGGGGCCCCAGGAGCGCGAGACCTGGGGCTCGGGTGGTGTGTGTGTGTGTGTGTGTGCGGGGGTACGCCCTGGGTTTCCCAAGGGACTGGGAGCGACCCCGAGCGGCCGCTGCCCGGCCGGGGGCCCCCGCATTTCCTCCCCCGAAGGGAGGGCGGCCAACGCGGGCTGACCGTGCCCGGAGCCCGCCGCGCCCTCTGGCGGCTGCGCGGAGACGCGCCCTGGCCAAGCGGGGCCGCCTGTCTGGGCACCCCCTTTCCGGGGCTTCGGGGGGCCCGCGCCCCGTGCCCTGCGCACCGGGCTGAGCCTCGCGGGTCGCGCCGCGGAACTCGGGGCTGCCGGGGCGACGCCACAGGCGTGCGTGTGGCAAGCGCCGGGGGTCGGAGCCCCGTGGGACCCCTGGCTCCCCGCTGGACACCCCCCCCGTCCCCGTGGCGTCCGGATCCCCTCGGCACGCTGCGAAAAACTGCCGCGTGCACGCACTTATTTTGCAACAGCTGCAACACACAATGCAGCTTTGCCAGGAGCAGGCAGAGGCGCTCTCCAGCCCCGCGGGCCCCGCGCTCCCCCGCCCGCCGCGCGTCTCCCCCGCCCGGGCCCTCCGGGTCTCTCCGCGGGTCCCCAGAGGCAGGGAGCAGTGGGGGCGCGTCGCGTTTTGCGGGGAGCCCTGCGGGAGGGAGGCGCGTGCGGGGCAGCCGGCGCAGTGCGGGCGGGGGCGGGCCGCGCCGCCGGCTCCGCTCCGCACGTCCCGCCGATCCCGGGCTCCGGCTCTTGGCGCGCGCCGGCTGGGCCGGGCCCTGGGCGCGCCGGCTGCGGCGCTGGCCGCTCGGGGCTGCGCGCGGGCACGTGTGCGCGGCCCCGGCGCGCGCGAGCCCCCAGTGTGTGGCGGCGGCGCGGCGCGGCGCGGTTCTTGTTTACCAGCGTGAACTCCGCTGAGCAGAAAAAAAAAAAAAAAAGAGGGAGGGGGAAGCCCGAGGAGGAGGAGGAGGAGGAGGAGAGGAGAGGAGAAGGAGGGAGCGCAGCCGGCGAACTCGACAGAGGCGGGCGAGCGACGCGGACGTCGCCAGCAGCCTCCCCCGAGCGCCCGCGGCCGGCGCTCGCAGCCCCTCGGCCGGCTCCCCGGACCCCGGCCCTCACGCCCCTCGCGCGCGCGCGGGCCAAGCCCAGGGGCGCCGCGGCCTTGACCTTCAGCGCGCCGGAGCCCCCCGCGCGCTCGGCCGGCGGCGGCCGGGGGCTGCGCGGTGCGGAGCGCGGTGCGGCCGGCCCGCCGCTTTGTGTACGTCCTGGATCCGGGCAGCGGCTCGCGGCGGCGGCTGCGCTGAGGGCGGCGGCGAGCGCAGCCCGAGCGGGAGGACGCCGAGGAGGAGGGGAGCTGCTCATTCATTCCGGCTCCGCATCCGCGCCCCTCGCCGGCCTCGCCCGCCGCCGGGACCGGGGAGCGAGCCGGGCAGCGCGGCGCGCCCCGCCGCCGCCGAGCCGCCTCCCCTCCGCCCGGGCTCGGCTGGGTTTGCTCCTCGGCCGGACGCACCCGGGCTTCGCCCCTCCGGCCGTGCCGCGTCCCTCCCCCCGCCCCCCAGCACACACTCACACACACGCGCGCACACACGCACACACCTCTTGCCTCTCCAGCTTTGAAAATGGAGGCCGACGCCGCCGACAGCCAGCCCCAGCGCGCCTCGGGTTCCCGACTCCGCCGAGCCTCGGGCTGCGGGAGCCGGCTCTGAGGGCTCGCCCGCCCCGTCCGCGCCTTCGCCCCGGCTTGTGCAAGGGGCGCGAAGACTGAGTTTGAGACTTTTTTTCTCCCGCCTCCTTTCGTTTCCTCCCCCCCCCGCTCGTTTTTTTTTTCTCTTTCTGTTTTATTCCCCCCCCCCCATTTTTTTCTTTTTTTGAGAAAGGGGAATATTTCAAGTTAGAGGAATGAAGGCTGGCTTCGGAGGAGGGTCTTGGACCTCGCTCTGGGGGCTCCTGCTTGTCGCCGTCGCACTCCTGCTCTGGCCGACGAGTGGAGAAAGTGAGTATGCGCCCGCGGCCACCGCGGGAACTTTTCTCAGGGCCCGCGCCCTGTTTGCGACACCCGGGTGGTCGCAGCGTCGGGCCCCCCGGGCTCGGACCCGCGGGGTGGGCCGCGGAGGGCGCCGCCAAGGCCACCGCGGCCCTGCCGCTTTCGTTGGGAGCCCGCGGGGTGCATCCGAGAGCCCCGTCCGGCGGCCGGGTGGGCGGCAGGGGCCCCGCCAGGCGCCGAGACTCGGTGGAGAAGTTGGGGGTCCCCGCGGCCGCCCTCTCCTCGCCCCACGCGGGACGCCGACTCCTGCGCGCGCCGACGACGGGGACCGCACCGAGGGCGCCCCGCGCCAGGAGCTGGACGCCCGCCACCCAGGGGTGCGAGTTTGCCCTCGAGCGTGTTTTGTCTCACTCCGAGGCCCCGCAGCCGCAGGCCACTTTTACAAACGTCTTGGCGCAGCCGCCCGTCGCCCGGTGGTCTTTTGCCCCTCGGGCGCTTTGGGCTTCTGGCCCCCTGTTAGGTCCCCCGGGTCTAGGAGGTGTGTGAGCGCTCCCCGCAACGCCCCGGGGCTGGTACGAAGTCGAGGGGCCTCGGTCAGCCGCGATCTTCGGGGAGCGCGCGTGGAGTGTTCCCCCCCACCACCAGTTCACTGAGTTCGGCACCATGTCCAGGTTCTGCCTAACCCGCTGACGCCTCCGCTGCCCTGTGGGGCTGGGGGCAGGCGGGCTGGCAGCGCCCGAGGGTGCGGGAGCGCGGGTGTGTGGTCGGAGCCGAGGTGCGTTAGCCTCTCGCTACACACACACACGCACACACGTGCTCCCGCGGCCCGCGCGGATCCCCGGCCCCGCTGCGCTCGGCTCGAAGCGCGCCGAGGGTTACTGAGCGCGCGGGATCTGGGGCGGCGGCGGGCGTTTGCGTGCGAGTGCGAAGCCCTGGCCTGCCTTCGGTGGCGGCCAGGGTTGCGTGGCACCGTTTCTCCCGCTCCGCACTTCCTTGTGCATAGTCAGTGGTGTCGCCCGCACGCGCGCCCCGTCTCTTCGCCTTCGGTTCGCTTTTGTTTTGGAGGCGTCGCGGAGGGCAGCGAGGAGCGGGGCTGAGGGGAGCTAGCGCACCCGCGGCGTGCGGGCGCGGGGAGGGAAGATCCCGGGTGGATCCTGGGCACGTTCGAGCTGGGAGGGTGGCCGGAGCACGATTCAAAGTTAAAATGCAGCCGCAGAATCGGGACTGCGAACGCCGAGGGCGTGTTGGTGAGTAATGTTTGCCGAGGGCATGCATGCAGGTGGTGCCTATTAACTGAAAAATCACGACGGAGTCAGAGGCAGCGTGGGCGGGGGGGGGTGCTGTGTGGCCACGTCACCAAGGCCTAGCAGAGGCAGTTTCCACCACCAGCCCCCTCCATCGTGCCTTGCACTCCCCTCCCCCACTTTTTTTTCTTTGCAAGCCTCTGTCCCAGCCATCTCCTGAGCGCTGAGCCCGGGTTGGAGTGGCGGGCAGTTCTTGATGGAATGCGCGTGTTGGCTGCGTGCGAAGGCGCAGCTGGGGCTGGGCCGCGCGCGGCACTCCACTCTCCTGTTCTTTGTTTTTCCAACTTTGAGCGCGCGCGCGGGGTCGAAGGGACGGACGCATTTCTGTTCGCTCCCTCTCCCCTCCAGGCGCCGAGGTTGTGTTTTTGGGGCCGGGGTTTGCAGTTTTAGCGGATCCGTTGCAATGTGGCACCAGGTGGTTTTTCTTTGGTGCTCTTCCTGAGTCGTAGTTGTGCCGTTGAGAAACAGCGGCCATGGCCTTGCTTCTCCGCGTCGGCGGGCTTGGCGCAGAGCACGTCGTGGCCAGGAGGCTCGCCCTTGAAAGCGCCAAGAGTGTTCTCAACAGGGTGTGTTGATTAAGATTTGCAATCCTGGCACAGACCCTGTCCGCCCCCCAGGTCTCCCTAAAACGGCGAGTGCCTTAGGGCCCCAAGATGGCCGCAAGGCACCCAAAGACCTCTAAGGTTGGCTGAAGTCCCGCGTGTTGCCTGCCCCACCCTCATCTTGGGCCGTTAGGAGGACTAAATGAAAAATGGATTCCGCTTTCCATCTGAAAGGCGCCAGACTCCCCCAGAAGTCGTCTGGCCAGGCCCTGGCGGTGTGAAGGCCCCTCAAGGCTGTTGTCCAGCGCAGTGGAGGGTTGGCTCTGCGGTTCCGCCACCGCCCTGGTTGGGCTTTTAGCGTTTTCTTCTCCGAGTCTGCAGGCCACGGGGACAGAGTCTAGTCTTAGAACATTTATAGGGTTCTTTTTTTGGGGGGGGGGTGGAGAAGTACATGAAGTTTGTAAATTAGGAGCTTTATCTGAGTGTCCTGGTAACTGGCTTTTTAAACCACCAGCCTTACCCGTACTTTGGCCACGTCCTTGGAAGGAGCCAGCTGTTTTTGTGCCTTAGGCGTAGTAGTGTGCCATTGTCAGACAAGGCTAGCCTCTGACCAGTCAGGGATTTCTTAACAGAAGGAGAACCCAGAAGTTTAAAAAGAACCTCAGCAGCCAAGTGCCTCCCGACTGTGGAGGCGTGCTTGTAGCAGGCAAAGGGTGTTTTGTGGTTGGGCTTTGAAGCCTGATTTGTCTAAAGGAATTAGAGAAGTCCCACTGCCAGGAAGAGCGTTAACTTTGAGTAGATTAACTTAAAAACAAATTAAGAGGCAAAAAACAAAACAAACAAGTAAACAAAAGAAACTCAGTCAGGAAGATGGCGCTTGTGTGAGATGTCCAGATCAAGGCCAAAGAGAAATTGGACGAGTGGCTGCCAGGACGTGGGGGAGCACGGTCCGTGGAGTGGCCGCTGATGGGGCCTCGGCTGCTTTTTGGGGTAGTGGTTACACAATTCTGAGTATACCAAAAACCGCTTGTACACTGTAAATCAGAGATCTTTGTGGTATTTTTAAGATCTCTCAGCATATCTACCTTTAAAAACAAAAAAATGTTAAGGTTGAAAAGAATGCCTTCTGGAAGACCTAGGCATGAGGTTAAATTTTTTCAGGAAGCCTGGCCCTACATGTCGGTGCCTTCTCTTGCCATGTGGGAGCATTCAGGGTGGGATTCAGAGTGGTGACTGAACGTGACAGCAGCCGGGCTCCTGTGCCGTGGCAGAGCCGAGGCGCAGGCCTCCGCAGCTCCAGTTGAGGCCGTGTCCCGGGTCAACAAGCACGTGGCGGACAAAGCCGGAGTTGTGGACTGGTGGACTGCTCCAGGAGCTTGTGGAGGCAAGAGGTGAAAAGCTGAGTGTGCGAGGCTGCGTTTTCCATCTCACTACGTCTGTTTTCTTTCCAGCAAAGAAGTAATGTGCCTGTTTAACAGAAATTTCCACCCTCTTCTGATAGGTCCTGTTAACCGCAAGTGAGGGCCAACTGTTCATTTTTATACAGTTTTTTTCCCTTGTTGCCGATTTTATTTCTTCCATAGCTCCGGCAGGACACCAAGGTTGTAAGAAGCACGTGGTGGCTTCTGTTTCAGAGAATCACAATTTCTTACAGAAGATTCAAAAATGTTGCAAGCATTTTGGTTGTTGCTCCGTCTCCTGGACCCAGTTTTACCTCAGCCTTTCAATAGGAAAAGGCCCGGCAGATAATTACTCTTTCTGCTTCTCTGGGGTCTTTGTCTAAGGCCTAGTTTACTAATAAAAATGTTTCCGGCCCTTGCTATTGTTGCCGATCAGGCCAGTAATGAGAATCAACTGTATCATTTTCACTTGTTGCCTCTGCCTGTTGCCAAGGGGAGCCCTCCAGGGAAGCTGGTTTCCTTTTTAATCTGGTTTCGTTTGTTTTGTAAGAAGCACCAGCTCTTGCTGGGCACCTACTGTATGGAAAGCGAGCCTTGTGCCGGCAGTGTGGGATGCAGGAGGCCCGTGCATGTAGTATATGCTGCTGCGTCCATCTGCGTGCCACGTTCCCGTCACCAGCACTTGGAAGTCCCTGGAGAGCCACTCCTGAGGGCTTGAGCGCGGTAGTAAGCCCTGTGCCCGCTTTCCCTTGTACTGGGGAGTCTTGGTGGTCATGACCCCCAGGAACATTGGGCCCCACTGACCATGGGCACTGCTGCTTGATCAGACCCGTGTGCCAGTGGTGATGATATAGTTTCTTTTCACCAAAACCTCAGGTGTAGCAGGTATGTGCCATGGCACCTTTGAGTTGGAGCAAGGATGGGATCAGTTTCAGGATGTTTTTTTGGATTCGCGCTGCTGGATCAACCTTCTGGAAACGTGGGGAGCATAGTTACAGTTTCAGGGCTTTCTGTCCTTTAAAAACAAGTTGCTTGTTGTTAAAAGTCGGAGGGGAAAGAAGGAGATTGGAGATTGCCTGTTAAAGCTGAAAATGTTTTCTGAGGTGAACAAGGCATGTCTCTGCATTGTGGTTTTTTTCCCCCTTCCATTTGATTTCAAAACTCATTTAAAAATCAACCCTGGTTCATAGAAGAGGTATTTGTGCCTGCAGGCCAGCTTGCTTGGGACTGCCTTTCTTAGCCAACTTATGACAGGTGCTGTCTGAGTCCAAGAGATGAGCTCTTCTCCATTGTGCTAAATATATAATACAGCACGCAGGCTGGGGACCAGTTTCTGGCACTGTCGGAGGTGTTCTGAAAGCGAATTCTGCACGCTTGAAAGACACCAAGGTACATCATAAACTTTCAGCTGCCTTGAAAAATGATTTGGGTGCCCTCTACCCACCCAGCGTTTTAGCAGAAGAAAGGTGCCCAGTCTGTGCGTAAGCACGTGCGTGCTTTGGCCCCACTGAGGAGGGGACCAGGGTTCCGGTGTCTGTAGACATTGAGGCCAGCCTGTCTGAGAAGCAGAATGGGCTCCCAGTGTTTGGAAAAAGTTTAACTTCGAAATCTGGACATGCACCCCCGCCCTGAAGGATTTATTCTGAGCTCAGGAATGTGAGATGGCGGGCAGACAAGGGTCTTGAACTACGTGGCAGGTCCGTCCCTCCAGGAGGGAGGCGCAGGCCTCGAGGACCGTGTTTGCGTCTGGTGTTAAACTGCCT